TCAGACGATCCCAAGTTTGATTGTGTGCTCGAATTCCGCACGGGTGATTTTGTGCTTGTCTGAAGTCAGGCTTCAGGCTTTGGCGTAGACTGGCGGACTCTTGGTAACTAGGTCATGCGGTGTAGCTGCGGCGGCGTTTGACAGAGGTGATGCAGGTCGGAAAAATTTGGATATACTCTCAGGTAGCGATTTACCGGCCGGTGAGTTGGCGGTAGCGTACACCGGGCTGAGCGATAGTACTGCGCTGGGTATTCCAGCGATGGAAAGTTTCGTCGTCTAAGCGATGGGATGTTGCCGTTTAGCGTCGACAAGAAAGTCGAAGTGCTGAATAAAATCCATCCCGATTATAGGATTCTGGACATCAGCGACAAGGAATGCACATTGAAAGGAACGTCAAAGATCGAGGTTGAGCGTGCGTGAGCGCTGACCGTATACACGAACGCTAGTGCCGTTGGTTGCGGGTAGAGAACCAGTCACTTTTCTGGTTACGTCATTAGGATCACAAGGAAGGACACTGACTCCTGCGCCAGTATCGACGATATAGCGAACCCCGGTTTGTCGAGCGGTGACGAAGAATAGGCGACTGTGTTGACCAGCTAGTTCCATCGAACCTATGCGCTGGTCGACCCATTTCTCTGTGCGTTCCGATATAAAGAAACATGGTGAGGGGCACGACCTGGCCTATAGGCCAAATCGGCAGAGTGAGGGCTTACGGAAAGCTGACCTCGCCCTTTGATATCTCCAGCGGTGTGAGACAAGGATGCCCGCTATCACCTTTTCTCTTCAACTTTGCTATTGACGAAGTCATGGAAATCGCATTTACAGGACACGACATAGAAGGTGTAGATGTGCTCCCAGGAGAACGACTTCTTGACTTAGAGTATGCTGATGATATCGTCTAATCTGGGACAGCTCACAAACGTGCTAAGCGGCACTGGACAGATTAGCACTGGCTGTCTGTTACTTCGGGCTTTGCTTCGCACCCTCGAAGTGCAAAGCGTTCCTCCAAGGTTGGTCTGGACCGTCTCCTGCGCTGACCCTTGGTGGGGATCAGCTAGAAATCGTTCAAATATTCAACTACCTGGGAAGTTATATCAGTGCCCGTGGGATTGAAGATGAGATCACGAACCGTATAGCAAAAGCTCAAAGTGCTATTGCTAACCTTCGCCACTTATGGCGCCGGCGCGACATCACTCTTGCTCTGAAGGGTAGAGTGTACAATGCAGCGGTACGTTCGACCCTACTGTACGGTTGTGAAACCTGGCCCCTTAGATAAACGGACCTAAAGAGGCTAATTACGTTCGACCACCGGTGCCTTCTCAATTTAGCTCACATCTGGTGGGAACACCGCGTGAGCAACGAGCATGTTCGACGCCTTGTTTACGGCACAGGAAAAGGAAATGAACCGCTCAACACCGTCATTTCACGCACCAGGCTCCGATGGCTCGGCCACGTGTTACGCATGCCAGTCCACCGACTCCCACGACGTGCGTTGTTTGCGCGCCGCGAGTGTGAATGGAAGAAGAGGAGGGGTGGCCATGCGATGACTTGGTCGAGAGGAATGAAGGCCCTCACTTCTGTGCTGGCCTCGGTTGGAGCGTCTTGGCTCCTTGGTTGGGGTCCGAAAGACGATGAACACGTTTGGCTGGATACACTTGCTGATATGGCTAGGAGCCGACCTCAGTGGCGTTCGTGCTGTGAGTTTCTTTGTCCCACCCCATTCCTCTTAGCCTCCCCCTCCAACCACGATCTCACTATTTAGCCTTATGTAATTTTGCATAGTAATTTTTTGATGCACAGTAGCCGGCTGGTAGCTTACTGGAACGATGCCCATCCGTTACCGGTAGCTCAGCCGGTTTGCACCAGTAGCATTTTTCTCTCCTTTTTTCTATTTATTGCCGCACAGTAGCTGAGGTGTTTCCCACCTCTAGCTAACGTGTATGATGATGATGATGGACCAAATCGCTGATGATACCAGCAGTAGGAAGAGGTTCGGCGCGGTAATTCCGACGAAGATTTGGATCAAGATGAAGGTTGACGACTTGAAGATCAACATCGGCAGCTACTCGCAGTTGTGAAGTCGGTAAACTTCTTCGTGAGTGCGACGATCTGCGATTTCATTTCTGCGATGTCATTCGGTGTAGATTGAACATATGAAATCTGCCCAAACTTGATCGGCGATATCGGCCATCAGCGCCAGTGGTGCGCCGGCATTTGCGCAGAGTAAACTGCATATTTCACGAGGCAATCTACGTAGCCACATTTCCTTGAGAAATACATCGTCTACCATGGCGGGTTTGGTTAAACTTTGCATCTTTCGCAAGAGCTGTGATGGCTTGAGGACATTCAACTCTGTTTCGCTCAGGAGCTTTGTGACACGTGGATAAGAAAGACTAATTCTTTTGAGATCGGGCATATCCTCGATGTCGTCGACGATGTGAGGAGGAAGAGCGGAGACGACGTGGAACTATTGAATCCTTTCAGATCTGATGCCACACAATTCGAATGGTGCTTCTAACTGAGCAAACCAAAGTTTTGGATTGCTTTCACGAAATGGCGGAGTGGCGATGGTTACATTTTCGACCTGGCCGTCAGGAACTAGATAATACGCGTTTATACCAAAGCGACACAAAACCCGAAATATGCAGAAAAAGTGAAAATGAATGAACGTACCACAGTAGTTAACAAACCAGAAAAGAAAAATTAGTAAGCGTCTTGGCAAAAAATTTCGGTCGGGATCACCAGTTATAGCGTAATCGCTCGGTCGCTCTAAACTCATCCCGCCTCAAGGTAAAGTTGGAAAAGACGAATATAAAGGCGAGATAGACGATTATTGTGGAAACGTGCAACCCCGCTAGCTAAAGGCACCGTAAAAATGTTCCAGCTATGGGAAAGGTATAGTCACCAGTCAAGACGCAGAGAACGCCCTTCGAAGCGAAAAGCCGGAAGCGCCCGAAATGCGATTCGTCTGAGTGACTCAAACATATGTAGTCATCGTTCGAACAGTCAAGCTTCCTAAGTTGTCTAGGTACGAAATGATTTATCTTGATATTTTACACAGACAAACAGGAGAATATTCAGGTCACTAAAGTAGGTTGTTGTGACGCTACCAAACTTTGTCTAACTTTCTTGGCCTACTGCTGCACGAACAAACAACGAGAAGGCAAATTATCGAGACAGCGAAGGTCACTGACTAAAGATACTCACCAAGCTTGTGTTCGTCAACGACAGAACGACTCATAAAGCTGCTGAATTCGCCACTGTCAACGATAGGACGCAAGAAACACCATCAATGATACAGGTGAGGTGTCATTACTCAGCGCAACTGTGCAGGAGACAACAGAGAGAATCTGGCTCCCAATGTCTTACAGCGCGTTGCACAGAACAGTGAACGACGTCCGAATGATACTAGTGCAGATGCAGCAGCGGCTGAGCAGAATGAGATACCCCTTTCCGTACCTATTGTCTCCAACGCCCTCAGATGGCTAAAGATATTGCTCAAGAAGTGCCACTACAAGCTAGAATGCGCCAACAGCGACACGGTGACTAAAAGCCAGTAGACTTAAGCTTTCGACTTCTCGGTGTATGCATCGCATAACAAAGAGGAGTGCATCTTCATAGACGGGAGTGGGTTCAACCTCCATCTGCGGAGGATGTAGGCTCGCTCAAAAAGAGGGACGCGCGCGAGCCTACTCCTGCCCACGGTCAGAGACTGCGTGTTGACGTTGATTGTAGCAATGAATAACCAACGCATCGTTCACTCAAAGATCACAAACCATAGCACCTGCAATGGTGCAGAGTTCTCGGTGTTTGTTGAAGAGCTTGTGGTGCGTATACACTGCAGAGTGAAGAGGAGCGGTGAATGGCTGATCATGGAAAACGCCAGGAGCTGCATGCCAGACGATCTAAGGGGGAACCTAGGTTGGTTCTAAAGGTCGGTGGCAGAACGAACAAAGTCAATGAGCTTGCAGGGTATCGAGAACAATGGCGATCGTAAAATGATTAGAGAAAGTACAAATAGCCAATGGAAGCTTGACAAGTTAGTTTAGCGACACAAACATCAGTCAAAATAGCAAGTTGATAGCTTGAGTTGAGTCGAAAGAGTAGTCCGATGTGAACACTAAACAGCTACGCCTAATAACTTGGATCAAAGCTGTTGAGCTGAGTATTCAAGAAACGTTATCATGGATGCAGAGCGAGCAACCGAACAAAAGAACTAAGCCCAATCACATAGCACATTTACTTAGAACACGAGTCCAGATATAAGGCACAAGGCGGCCACATACAAGTGCTATGAAAATCCACGCTGCGTCAAGTTGGCGATGCGGTTGCTTATAAGTTCGGCTTTGCGCAATAGTCTAGCGGGTCGAAAACCCCCCACTTCGGGCATAAAAACTAACGTCGGGAGTGAGATAAATGTTGTTATCTAGGAACATGAGAAATTCCGAGAAAGCTGTTAAACATGTGTCGTGGAAAACAAGTGTTATGGTATACCGTACAAAAGAAATGGCCGTGCTGCAGTCGCCTGTAAATGCACTTGCCACATGCCATTTTAATGATGCTAAGGATGATGGTGATAGCTTCATTATCAGAATGAACGTGGGGGGGAGGGCTTGGAAAGAGTAGAAAAACAAACAAGCTTATGCGCATATACAAAAGATTGCGAAAAAGTGGTTAGGTACAAACGACCCAAAATTGGGAATGGACAAAACGCATCGGAACAAGGAACCGCTTCTCAGGTGCTACGATCTTTAATGCAAAAGTGAGCGAAAGTCCGTCATATGAAGGAATACTAAAGCAATGAAATCGGATAATAGAGGGAAAGATAGCGTAGCGCGCAAACACTGGTTCCGAGTAGCGTTAAAGGGGATCAATATGACGAGAACAAGTACCATAACAGAAAGCAATGTGCCAGAAGTATGCTGATGCATGGACCGCACCTGAGAAGTGACCGCATCAAAGGCAATGCAGCTTGAGGGTTGCGGGTGGTGGAATGTGGTTCATTCACTTTTGGTTAAACCGAGAATGCCGACGCCTTGGAAGTGGCTGAAAGGGTACAGAGGAAAGTGACTCGCAGGGCCTTCAAATTGGCCGTTGCTGTTGTCTCTTGGAACATCGTTTATTTTACACTATCTACTGCCGACCTATGACTTTTGTCGTTTTATTTTCTCAGATCTGTTTAACTGAACAATATCCTAGTTACTAACGTTATCCTACTCAGCCGAATTTTTGAAATCATTTCGAAATGCGGTAAAATGCCTTTCGTTTACTACGCGCATAAAGCCAAGAACACTTTTAAACGGGTTGTGAGAAAACATAACAGCAATATTAGGATACGTCGCGCTGGTTGGAAAGTTGGCCTCCGACGATGTACTTTGCAGCAAATGCAATAACCACCCATCCTCTCAAGCAATTTGCGTTTATTGCTAGGAAAAAGTACTGACCTCAGCTCTTATACGACGAAAGGAATATACAAACATAGGTTATTACATTACAAAAAACTGGTTGTGCTCTGATATTAAAGACGAACTTATTAGCATCAGTGGATACCGTGCGATTAGGTCTGATCGCCAAGGTAAGCCAAGGAATCGCGGTGGCCGCGTCAGCATGTACTTTAACCAACTCTGATGCAACTCAGTCAATCAGCTATTCACTCACTCACCACAAGCTTTAGGAGCTGTTATTTACTTGAATGCAAGCCTAAATTTCTCTGCGGCTTTCAGTCTGTTATTATCGGAAACTTGTACATGGCCCCTGATATATCATCATCCGAACTGAAGCTTTTAGTTGAGCAACTTTATTTGGTATTGCTTCCAAAATCAGAATGCTCTGCCTGAATTGTCTCCGGTGACTTTAATAAATGTGATCCAACGTTCTTCAAGTCACTTGACCAGGCAAATTTACTAATTTTCCCAACCAGACAAGACGCGCAGCTTGATGTTGCTTACACAAACAAAATTCGTTCTTCCATTCAAAAGCATACCCCATTAAGCAACTCGGACCATTGTATGCTAAAGCTTTGCTCTACCATCTACAGTAAAACTGACTACGCCGCATTAACGAAACGACAATTCAGGACCATCCGACGACGCAATTGCTCGGTGGAAAATATGGCACGACTTCAATAAACAATTTCTTCAATCGATTTTTTCAGTTTTTACAGATGTAGATCTATCGCCTCAATGTAATCATCTCACGAGTTACGTAAACTTCTGTTTTCACCTTGGCTGCTCTGTCGAGAGGATGTACCTGCGATCAGGTAGATTTTATTCACCCCTACTGAAAAACTTTGCAGAAAAAAGGTGCTTACAAGCTCAAAATGAGCACCTGAGTCAAAAGCCTGACTATAGCAATTAAAGCTGAAATAGCAAGACTGAACAGTTTATACATTGAAAGGGTACTTAAAAACTGTAACTGCCGGGATCTCTGGAGGCTGTTGAAGCAAATATGTGGTAAAAGTACCATCGTATGTATTGGAATCGGAGAGATTGCTAAACTCAATTCCGAGTTTAGTTCCTCTCAGTCGAGCGTTTTCCATTACCCTCCTTTACTAGCTCACACCCAGCCGCCTTATTTGATCAAGCTGACGTTAGCAGAGAACTTAAGAAACTAAATACAGACAAAGCTAATGGCCCTGATAGCATGTAACCCGTGGTTTTGAAGCAGTGCGCTGATTCCCTTACAGTACTCCTGAGTGATATTTTTAACAAGTGTCTCACGATTGATGCCATCCCCGACATCTGGAGGTGAGTCAGAATAACGCCAATTCCTAAAAAGGAACGCCACAAGTATCGGCCTATTGCTTGTACTTTGGTGCTCCTAAAAGTCCTCGAAAAGCTACTAGTTAAACGAATTTCTACAGCCACTCGTGCTGATGATGTCTACCAGTTTGCGTTTAGACCACAGCGCTTCACGCTTAATGCCATGTCGTACTTTGTGTAGCTGCACTACATCTTATCAGGGTGCGATAAGCACCCTGTAGCTGTAGTCCGCAAAGTGGTTGTCAAGGAAACTTAAATTCCGAAACCGATGTCACTTCTACTAAGGTCCCCGGCAATTTGTTCCACTATTTCACCACTTGACGCTCGAAGCATAGAGGGTGAACGATATGCTTTAAATCCGGTACCACCAATTTGTACCGGTGTCCGCGTGTGCTGCTTGGTGCGCGAACGTACAGCAGCTGCTTCAACATAGAGAAGTGGCCCAGGTGCAGTAACCGGCGCGTCATAATGAGATCAACTCGAAGCCGACGATATGACAGGGAAAAAGCCCTAGTCTCCCCTAGTCCCCGTACGACATACCCATGGGGATGAGCCGAGTAGCTACATGCTGGACCCATTCCAGTTTCTGAACTTCACCTATTGTGATCGGACAATAAGCGAGTGAACCGTACTCAAGCATAGATCTTATCATTCTCTTCAGACCAAGTGCAAAAGATGCGTCTAAGTGTCCAAAGCAGGCGTAGTCCGTTTGCGTACATTCTGTTCGTGTTGTCGACAGACTCCCGATCACAACGTGAGAGTACGCCTAGGTCCTTTACGGAACTGATGAGATGCGACGGGTGGCCGGACGCACGTTCAGTGCGTCCGCATTGTCCGTCAGTGATCTCTAACACAGCTACGTCACTTGCGGGTCTCAGGCGTCGCTTCATGTAAGCAAAAATCTTCTTGGAGGCCGTATTTGCTGAGATTACAAGCTCCTCTTCGAACTGCCAATGCTTTCGCGCTTTTGCGCTGCTGCATAGGTCCCGTGCCATTTGCACGCCTCATAATCGTCAGCAAAGCCAGACACGAGGAATATATTCCACGCGTCGCCGTCGAGCCAAGTGACTATACTCGCTGTCGAACCAATGCGGTTTCACTGGCCCAGCTTTCCGATACTTGAGGGGTGCAAAACGAGCGCACAACGATTGCACACCCTTTTATAACAGACCAACATGCTTCAACAGATGAATGCTGCGGCAGCGACCAGTCTACTTCACTGGCGGCTCGATTTAGACCATTGAAGTCGGTCTACCAATAATTTTAGGACGGCTCCGGCAGACGCGAGTAGGGTAGCGGCAGCTCCAGTCTGGCTAACACCATCCAGTGGTCGCAAGCTGTCAGAAGCTCCAGCACCTGAGTTTCATGTACACGTTGCTCGCAACTCGTTAGTAGTAGCTCCAGCAAGATGGAGCGGAATGTGGTGTAACACGCGTCGGTTAGCAGACAAGTTGTGCTGTCCAAGTTTCAAATACCAGCTCCGCGCCTCGAATTCACAGTGCCCGGGGAGAAGTTGAGCCTCAGGCCACCATATTCGAGGGAAGTTAAAATCATCCATAAGCAGAAAGCGGGGCCAACTCATGTAGTTTCTAGCATGCGGCAACCAATCCAGGCATCGACTTCGCGGGCTGCGATAAGCCACACCCACAAACAGTTCAACTTGTCTCAGGCGGATCGAGCACCATAACGGTTCGCACAAGCCAACTTCGCTAAATTAGGTGTGTACCCGTCTCCCGCACAGAAAAGACGGAATGTATGACAACATGCCGCCTCGATTGTTTGATAGTGTATCGCACCGGAAGCACAAGTAGCCGTTGATCTGGACTTCCTGGGTAGTGACTTCAGGATTTAGCCAGGTTTCGGCCAGCCCTAGTACGCACGGACAATGTGAGGCAACGAAGTGAAACACATCGTCACGTTTTTTCACTAAACTACAAAAACGTGTGAATGAGACGCCCAGGCCGCGGTAGGAACCGGCAAACGTGCATGAAGCGTCATCGATCTGTTGATCCGGGTTCAGCGGACAATGGGAAACTACCCGAAATTTACAATGTGGAGATTGGTTTCTCCACTATCAGACCGCCGTTTCAAATTCACGATAGCGGACTTCAGTTTCTCGCTGTCTGACGGATCCAAATCGTGACGAATATGGATCCTTAGACCTTATTCGCCTAATGAGGCGGGATAGTATCAGCCTCGGACTCGTTGCATCAACAAACGTGACTCGCAGAGGCCGCAATTCCCCTTTGCTCTCTTTCCAAGACGGATGATTTGCTCCATCCGCAACCCCTGTTCAAACACTGCACTCCTATGATGCGTTTCGGTGTTAGCTGGCATCGAACCCGGCAACACTGAAATGTTAATTGTGACCGTTACCCCTAAGCCACCGGCTCGAGAGTTGAAAACGCCGAATCAGCACTCCTGATAACACAAAGTTCTAACTGTAAGGGAGTTTTCAACATGTCGCTACATTACCTCCACCCAGAGAGCACAGCAAGAGCAGAATATTACGATGCGGAAAAAACTCAGATGATTGTGGTAATGTCAACATTAAACTCAGAAACGCTTAACAAAAAAGGTTACATATCACATCGCATAGTATTTTCACTTCACTCAATTAAATCCACGACTGGTTTCATGCAGATGGCAGAATCTATATTGGCATGTGGAGAACGTGTCGCAGTCAAAGGGGCAATACCTCAATTCATCAACTGATCAAGGCAACGAAATCAATTAGTTTTACTTAGCGCCTTCAACCGTCGCTAATCGCTCCGAATGCGGTCATGCTACCCAGTAGAAATATTATAATCAATGTGACCAACAACCAAGAAAGCTATAAGAACTGTTGGGAACGGTGGCCTCACCCACGCAAAATGCCTACCTAACATACATACCGTGAACCGTGCCTCCTAGATAGGCGGATGTTCTGGGATTGGCAGCCTTGTAAAGTCGCTTTGAATAGTGAAACCAGGAGCATGTGAAGAAATAAGTAATTACATGGGGCACTGCGATCAGGGTAAATCGCACATTGACGAAAAACAATGCGCCAATCGTACATCCCAGATAAGCTGGCATCCAGAAAACTGTGGCAATAATGTCTGAACTGTAAAATGTCATGGAGTTTGTGGTAAGATAGGAAGGCGGAAAATGCCATTTGTCAACGAAAAGGTAGCAAATAGCCCACCACAAACACAGAAATTTGCAGAATCTCGCGAACAAGGGGAAAGATGGGTGTTTAAACACTTTGGCACGACTCTGCTTCGTGCAGAGATTGTCATCGACTCAATCCGAAATGGACAAGACATCAAAAGACGAGTAACCGACCGAGATACATGAGATGTAACGTCAGTTCATTATGATGACAAATGTGGACGGATCAGAAATCAAGCTACAGTCAAGCGGAATTCCAAATATCCAGGATCCAGAGGCGAGCTGAAAAATACAGCCATAGAATAGCAAAGAGTGGGGCTAAACGAAGATAAGAAACGACCAAGCAGTTTCCGAAAGAAATCATATGTGCAACGAAGTTCGACGGAATGCTCACCTAGGGTTTAGTCCAGACGCTACCAAACTTGCAGCGGCAGCAATACTGGCATTCAGATTGTCGAAATTGGGACCTGAGGAACTTCCAGGAAGACTGCTAGTGACGGAAGCTGGAGAACTGACGGGTTGATTTCCGCTAAAGCTCGTTGTAGCATTGTTGGGGCCACCTCCTACCGAACAGCTGGTGGATATACCACCTGCTGTCGAACAGCCAGAAGCACCAACGCCGCTGGCACACGTGGAACCGGAAAGGCATGTGAGCGATGATGGATGCGGCGGCAAACCTAAACCGGCCAAGCCAGCGGGGAAAAAATTCGCATAGGCAGACACTGGGGGTAGTCCAGCCAAGTGAGCAGCAGCGGCCGCCGCCGCTGCGCCTGGCGGTGGTGGGGGCAAAGTTGGAATGGCGGTAGGACCACCGCTGTTTGTGAGAATACCCCCGCCTCCGCCGGCTGCTCCCGCGCCACCTATAAGGTTGGCGGGGAAAGGCAGACCAGTACCCCCAAGTCCAAGTCCAGCACCACCAGCCCCACCAGAGAAGAGACCGGCTGACAGTCCGAAAGCAGCAGCAGCGGCGGCTGGATGAAGTCCACGTGCAGCACCAGGTAATCCTGAGGTGACACTGCTGTTTAGAACGTTCACACCTGGAAGACCCGCAGCAAGGGACAAATGGTTGCTGTTGGACATTATGCTGTTTCCAATACTGTTGGCCAAAGAGTTGACTCCAACGCCATGAGAGCCAGATAGTGGGCCACCACCGCAAGTCAGAAACTCCTTGTTGACACAGTTTCGAAGACAATCAGGAATTCGACTCAGGATGGCACGTCTGATCTCGTTTGCAGCAGCCTCGCGCATCTCTCGCATACTTGATTCGCTGTAAAACGCCATGTGCGGGGTCACGATCAAATTCGGTGCATCCTTGAGAGGACCTGTTAGACAAAAAAACAAAATGTAAAAGCTACGATAAATGGCCACTAAGACGCAAAAATGTGAATTGCAACAGGGCACCGCGTGGGCGCATCTTTGTCACATTTTCGGACTCACAGATATTGAAACTGTTGATGGGACAATCAGAGACCGGTTACACCAACAAGAACAAGATCAGAAGTAGAAACTTCGTGGCATAATAGCAAGTGCAAATTGCAGAAAACGTAGTAGGACAGCAGCAGTGGGACATCAGGGATCGATTAGTGGCCGAAAGGAGCGTCCCATGCTATTGATAAAGCGTGACTAAGAGCCAGACTCTAGCAGGCATCAACTGTAGTTCAGCAACAGTCTCAGCAAAATGAAGCAAATAAAAAAACAATCGTTCGAAAGATGAAACCGTTCGAGAACTATTAAAATACGAAAATAACTGCGAAAATCAATGACGCAATGCAGAGAACTCCAGTTAGTCAAGCCAATAAAGAAACTTGCAATGGAGGGCTAGATGGACACAGACAACAAAGTACATGTAACATATGGTCGAGGAGACACCTGTGAGCACAATGACCGAACGCTTGGTTCCCAAACAAACCAGCAAATACGTCAACAGTTGTGTGAACAAATGGGATACTCGACATAACCCATTCGGCATCCGCAAAGCGACCGGTGTATGTGGGCCACTAAGCAGACTAAGATGAGATGATCGCGGTCCCCACTCCGATACAGTGCTCCACAGGCCAACCGTTATTTGTAAGCCTTTTCTCAGGCCCCATAAAAATAAGCAGCAATCGATAACGTCAACCGGTGACAGCTTGCAACAAGCCACCACACAGCACTAATTACGCACGTAAAGTGCTTCGATGATGTCTACGTATTTCTCGGACACACCTTTCCTAAGCAAACAGTCCCAAAGAGCACATGAATCCACCGAATAGAAAGCAAGTAAAATGTTCAGTAACACGGCTACGGTGGGTCGCCAATAAACTTGGCGGTGCTCAAACTGGCGCAAAATTAACTTTTGATCAATGCAGCTAAGACACGGACGAAACCCGAGTTGCTCTTCACGAATCTATCTTTCACGGATGCCGGTTAGTCTACTGAGAACGACAAAGACAAGTAACGTTGAGGAGATAGAGATAAAAATGTTACCTCTATGATGAGCGAATTTCGAACGTGAAACCGTATTAAAAACCAGGAAAATAACAAAGCAACCTAAGTCTATTGGGATAGTTTCCTGATTACACAGTTTCCCCAGTAATTATTTCACAAGAGATGGTCACGTAGTGTTATTCAACTTTAGCGATCCGATCTCACGTTCGACCTCTGTGCGAGGGAGGATCCGAACGGGCGGAAGACGGAACAAAGTGATCACTGGCCGGCAGCCAATCTAGTATATTTGGCCGACCAAATTGCCTTCCCAAGTGTTCAGCCCAACGTTCCAAGTGCTTCCACAGATTGTGTATAGGCTGTCCACTCTCGTCGCATATAGTCTCGCTAACAGCAGGTCTCTTGCAGCCCATCACCCGTAATAGACAAGATAACTTCTGACGATTATCAACAGCACAGGTTGGTTCCATCTCCGAAACACGAGGCCACCAGGTTTCCTGGTCTCTCTTCGAGCAAGCAGGCAAGTCCGCCTTGAAGTCTTTCCGAGTTTCGTTGCGTTCACTCCAAGCCCGAATGTATCAGAGAGCAGCCAGAAGTTCCATACACTGTGTAGAGACCCAATGTCCAGGTTGGCAATGTGGCTTACTACATGAAGACATAGCTGCTGCTAATAAGGTCTGGCGAACATTTGATCAGTGACCAGTGGTGTCCAGTGACCGCTTGCACAACCTGAAAACAAACGCAGTTTTATAAGCATTCCGAACGTCTGGCTGCGCCAGTTGGTGGGTGTCTATACATCCACAGCTTCGTCGTGAGCGTCTACCAAAAGACACCTAAAAATCGGCACACATAACTACATGGTTAGAGCCAACGCTTGTGCTCCAAACCCAGTGGCAATTTTAAGCGCAACCCGTCAAACAGTGAGTGGACGCGATAAGGATGATTTGCGTCTATGGCTGGTGGTCGTCATGTCATCCTCCGGCGAGTGCTGTGTCGGAAGCTTATGCTCGCGAGAAATAGACGACCATCTTCATACAGGGGTAGTAGCCGCCTACCTTTATCATCATGGGAGCCCACACCGTGTTGGCCGCCCAGATTCAGCTCATCAGTGGATAATTTTCCAACGGCCGTTCAAATCAACAGCCAACACTAAACTATCCGAACTTTTTCGATGACGATAAATCATATACAGTTGACTAACGTGCAAGGATGAGGCAGCATCAGTGAGACAAGTTCCTTGCGGCTTTCACTGCCCGCGTCACAATCAGCCGTTACTCCGCAGAAAACCAAACCAGTTCAAGGTCCACACGAGATGCAGTGACATGTCTAGTGAATGCAGTGTTATCGTCGCTGGACAGTGTATGCTGCCATGACTACCGCAACGCTTTCGGTTGTGTTAACCATGAATCGGTTGCAAAATATACTCAATTCTACAATCTAACCCTGCGTAATCTCCATGTTAAAGGGTTATTTTGCTAAACATATTTAGGTTAACAGGTTTAGCCACAGAAGCTCCACGCCACTTATAACAAACTCCGGTGTCCTTCAAGGAGCTATTCTGTCACCATTCTTATTTGCAGCCTACGTCAGCTTTCGCTAAGGTTTTGCCACTATTGCATTGTCACTTTTTCGTCATGTCGATGGCATGTGTATTACGGCTGAAAACGCACCCTTCCTGAGTGCATAAAAGCGGAATGTTGTAAGATATCGACCGACCTGCAACAAATTGATACGTCAAGGCATACCAGTCTTAGCGACGATCGAGGGATACAAATAGAAACGAATAAAAGGACATTTGTCCGCTTGATTAAACATGCATCGGTCGACAGAGCAGGAGAGAGGCACTGCAATAGTGTGAGCCGAAACTATAAGATAAACGCCTATCAAAACAAGCTGGGAAAGAATCAAGAATTAGAGGTTACAAATGGGTTACAAATGAAGAACGGGAGGATAGGGATGGAAAAACATGAGGGAAAGCTTAAGTTGCAACCTCAACACTCTTATTCACATTGCTAGATAAAGTAGATAGGCACCGTTGATTATCCTTTGTGACAGTCAACGCATCGAGAAATTATGTGAGTGGGCAGGACACTATCAGGTTGTCTAGGACTAGACAGGAAAACGAGTGGGGTTCTTAACCAAAGCCTTTGGTTCAAAAACCTGGCTGCAACGCAATGAGCAGAGGGTTAAACAAAGTCGGTTTGGGAAGGAAGGAGTCACGTTCATTCCAAACCACAACTTAGAGAACCAGGAGAGTGACTACATCAAGCCTCCAACCATTGACCAGTTTGGCGTGAGTGACTATGAAGGTGCAAGAAATACCAGTCAGCATAGCTCAATGAATCGTTGAAGCAGGCAAACCGTTGCACCACGTCATGTCCTGTGTCGTCGCGATGGTGACTGTTAGACAAGAACAGTGGGCTGGACAGATCAACGCAGCAGCATCCTGTTCGCATTCAACGAGTTAGCTAATGCCTGGTAGACAAAGCAGGACGCTCGCACAACTTCATCCGAATACCAGTGGCCTCCACAGAACTATATCGTCGGAACAAGATCGAGAGTGGTAGAAAATCGAGCTAACAAGAAAGGAAGGCAGTTCACAAATATGTACAAGATCCTATAGAGTAGGGATCAACAGACCCAGATCGAGACTTACTGGCACTCCATACAAATGGTTCATTTTCCGTCACGTCTAATGCGGCCGCACGGATACGACCCTCCTTTAAGGCGGCAGCAAGTGCCACTTCGTCGATGAGACCACCGCGAGCGGTATTTATCAAGAACGCCCCTGAAACGTCACAAATGAGGTAGATCGAATTAATTAAACACCGTCCAAACCCAAGACAACCAAAAGAAGTGTAAAAGCAGAGTTGATAGGGGCGCTGATACAGAGAGAAGGAAACCGGTACCAGAACTTCTTTCATTTGATAAAGGTGCACAATTATCGGGTCTGCCCTGGAGTTAGACTCTGTTGAGTCCGCATACTATCCTCCCATTGCTCAAAAAGTTCCGCATGTCAGTTTCCGTCAAGCTATGCAGCAACTCCGCCGTTTTTGGCCTGACTCTTAGCTGCAAATTGAGTGGAAGTTGTTAAATCGGGAGCATATGGGGAATGTTTAGAAAGCAATGTTTTGTCGATAACACGTTATGGACTGCCACATTGTGCTGCGCGAGATCTAATCTCCTTCCTCTATATCGCAAAATGCAATATTCTTACATATTCACGCATTCGTTTACGAAACGTATTCATACTAGTGCTGGCTAACTGGTTGTCCACACATGGTACCTATTCTGTCATAACAATGGTCATTAGATAGAAAATCGATAGGTGTTACTTTGAACCTGAAACGACTCATGCGTGGATGGTCGCCATCCCTCGCCGAGTCGCCGCATTATTACGCGATTCAAAGAAACGTGCATATGACAAGCATTCAACGTCATAAGCTTGCTGAATGATCTTGGTGTGTCATTAGAAAATTGATGTTAACGCACTGATCACTTTTGTGCAACTATAACAGCGCTAGTGGAACGAAAGATGAGACCACGAACCGTACATCAAAAGAACGATTCGCATTTGCCAATCTCCGCCACCTGTGGCACCGGCGTGACGTTACTCGAGTTCTGAAGGCCAGAGTTTACAAAGTAGCAAGCCGTACAACCCTTCTGTGCGGTTGCGGAACTTGGCCCCTCAAGTCAACAGACATAAAGAGGCTAGTCATGTTCGATCATCCCTGCATTCACAGCTTAGCTGAGGTCTGGTGGGAGCACCGCGTGAGCAATGGACGTGTCGTGCATTTGTTGCGAAGATGTGAGTGAACCGCTCAGCACCATTATAGAACACACCAGGCTCCGATGGC